CAACTGCTTTTTTAATTTTGATGCATAATAATATCTGTTATTTTTTGCTTCTGAAATATTTTAAAAATTTGAAATGGAATTAAATGAAATGGAAAGTGAATTAATTGTGTAATAAAAATATGAGATAATTCAATTTTTGCTATGACAAATTTATAATTGAATTAATTTATTAGTATTCTATACTTTTCAGGCTGTTTGCTTAATTTTTGTTCGCTTTCTCTGCTTTTTTAAATTTCATTCAAATTTTACTTTACTCACATTATCTATTTACATTTATCACTTTCAGTTTTGAATCTTGTAAACAAATTTGAAAAATTGAAAAAAAATTTTGAATTTTTTGATGGCCTAAAAAAAAGAATTTAAAAATATGAATAATTTTATATTAATATTAAAATAATTTGATCACATGAAATTAATATTTTTTCATGAATTTTTCAAATTTTTCTTTTTCAATTCTATTATTCAAATGTGTATCAATGGAAAAAATACAATTTAAATAGAATTGAATTTTATACAATTTTCTGCATTAGTAATTGTTTTTAGGCAAATACGCAAGTGTAATATTTGTAGTACTACTAGCCGCAGACCGATACTTTGCGATGTGTCGTCCACATTTTTGTGTACGGTATCGAAACTACTGTACTGCAATGTCATCTAGTGCCTTCGCTTGGTTTTTGGCATTTTCTGCTGCCATACCTCTTTACTTATATTCAGAATTGGTGGAATTACAGATGGCTAGTGCTATCAGACGTACGAGATTTGTTTGCATCGCTAAGTGGCCTAGTTTAAGTAGTGCGAGATGGTTTGTTCAGTTTGAATTTTTGAAATAATTTAATTCACCTCAAAACTGTAAAAATTTACCCAATTTTGAATTGATTTTAAATTACTGTTTACTAATTTAATTTTAGGTATATTATATTTTCATCCATATTAATTTTTGTCTTGCCGTTATCACTCATGATATACTTCAATTATCATATTTTGAAAAAGCTCAGAGAAGCTTTACTCTGTAGCAAACGTATGAAACGTGCGTCTCAAACTCGGGTGCCCTATCATCGTGTTACACGTTTAGTACTTTGGGTTGTAATATTTCATGCTGTATGTTGGTAAGTGAATTTGTAACTATAAAATAAATTATATTTTTTGTTAGCAAAAAAATGAAAAAAAATTTTTTCATATTACAATAATAAAGTGAATATTTTAAGTTTTTTGTATTAGTCAAAATAATATATTTCAAAAATTTTTGTTACTTCGACAATATATGCATAATTTTTATATAAACCAAAAAGAAAATTAGCATATAAGTGAATGTTTGCGGAAGTATATAACTTACGTGATTGAATGAATTTTTATCAAAATAATATATTTTGAAAAAAAGTTCGTCAAATAAACGAGTTCAATTAGACACGAAAAATAACGATAATTATATACGCATGTAAATATCATAACGTTTTTTGAATATATATATATATATAT